CTTGGTGGTACATTTTTTCAAGCGAGTGGGAGTGCCATGCATGGGGTAGATTTTTCCTGTTTGCATCTTGTAGGTGATGGGTGTTGGCATTGAAGACCCTTACCACCTTATATGGTGCTAATTTCCCTTTATTTTCTAAAATTCCAACTCGCCTTTAGCTTTCTTAGAACAAGATTTTCAATGTGAAGAATTTTCTAGACTTGGGTTTTGGATTTGGACTAAGTCAAGTTTAATTTTTTGGCATCTACATGTTTTTAATTTATAAGAAGAAAAAGCATCTTATTAATAAGAAAATTAATTATGATAAAAAGAAGAGAAAGAGAGAGAAGGAAAATTGATCTTCCATTATCATAAAGCTTATAGTCCAGTGATAATAGTCTTTTACAAGAAGCTGCGAGTTCAAATCCTAATAAACTTGGGTGTTTGAGTTTAAAAAAAAAAAAGATCTTTCATTCATAAGATGATGACTAACTACACTCGCCCTTCTATTAGCCTTTTTTTTTTTCTCCTAAATGATAAGGGTATTTTGACAAGGTTATTGCATTTATTCTCTTTTCTAAATAATTTTTTCATGAAATAATTATGTTGTTATGGTTTTTTTTATACAATAAAAAATTTATCTATGAATTAAATGATGCTTTTAAGGACAATATGAATTGTAATAAGGTTTTCATGGCAATTGCTAGGGTATTCATTATTCGGTGAAAATTGAATAACTAAACCGAACCGAACCAAAATATCAATTTTATTGTGATTTCTTTTTAGAAATTAAAAAAAAAAACCAAAATAATTTTAATTTTTGGGTTCGAGTTTGTTTTTTTTTTCAATTCGATTAATTGAAAAACTAAAATTTTTAATATATATATATATAAAGTCAAATCATTCACTCGTACCCCCAAATTGAAAAACCCTTCGCTCCTATATGCACTTCCTCTCACAGACTTCGTACATGCTTTCTTTGTACGTGCTATAAGTCTAGATGTACACAAAATAGTAAAGACGTTGGTAGTTTTCCTACCATCTTCAATTCAAACTTTCTTGAGTAGACAATTTATTATTTGTTTATCTACCAATGCATATGTTATTTATTATTTTATTTTATTTTATTGTGCAACTTAGTTTTCTAGCTAGTAGTCCATAAAGTAAAAAGAAACTCATTCTAAACAAAGATTTCAAAAACTTTAATAGAATCGGCTATTTGTAGAAAATAAAATAAGATAAAACGAGTAAAAATCAAATTGAAAAACCGAATAACATTTTGATTTGGTTTCGGTTATTTTTTTTTAAATTCGGTTAATCAAAAACCATTTAAAATATTTTGAAATCGAACTAAATAACCCAATGAGCAACCCTAGCAATTGCCTTAGCTAATTAATAATGTGAAGATTGATATACCTTTTTTGACTCAATCCTACTACTCCCTACTTCTTGAAATCATTTATTTTTGTTGTGGAGCATAACAGGGAAACTTGTTTATTCTATTTTCGTTTTGGTTCATTTTTTTTTTGTTGGTATATGTTAGGTGGCCTATTGTGTATTTAGCACACACAGATGAAACCTCTCACGAGTCCCCATTTTAAATGTGAAGTTGTTCCCTAAGGAGCACATTGTACCTTTTTGGTTGCCAACCGCAGTATATCTAATTCTATGTCCGTCCCATAAATCATTGTTTTCGGTCTCGTAATTTTATTACTCGTGAACTTTGAATTGGTTCATATTCGTTGCGGTTTTCTTAGCTGCTTTGTAACCTTATTCAATTTAAAACGCTTTAGTTTGTGATTCTATAAGACTCGCGTACAAATATATAATTTTGATGAAATAATTGTTGCAAAAGAATATACTTGATTTTAGTACCGTAGAAAATGATATTTTGATGTGGTTACATTTTTGTACCATTGAGTTGCTATCTTATGCGCTAGCTTGGTAATTGCTTTAGAAGCAATATGCAAGATATTATGGCACGGGAAATGTTGGTTAATCTTCAAGTTTATTTGGCGTACAAAATATATCCGCACCTATTAATGACACTTATCGACCGTTTGGTTTATGTATGTGGGCTTGGGAACCAACTCTATTTACGTTATATGAATACAAGATGAAATAATTACATTGTGTTGTTTCGATGAGTGAAAATAATCAATATAATGGTCTATGTGTTTTTGGGTAATTCGATTAAGGGTTGCCAATGATTATAAAGAGAAATCCCTCTCTTGTACATGAACTTATGACTTCTTGTGGCTCACCATTTATCGTAAAAGATGTACAAGTAAAAGTAGGGTCATGAGGCTATAAAGAAGCACATCAAAACCACGAAAGCCTTTATTCTAAGGTTGTATTTGTTTCGAGAAAAATAAGTTTTGGAAACTTGTTTTCTCTATTTTTTTTATTTTTTGATATTTATTTCGCATTTAGAAAAAAAAAGTTAACGGAATTTAATTTCCGACCAATGGAATTTGATAGGCTATTTTTGTGAAAGTATTTTCCCAATTAAAAAAAGAAAAACATTTTCTCTCTCTCTCACGAGTCGTCTCGCTCTCATGTTACTCACATCTCTCTCGACATATTTTAATAGTTTTTTTTTTCTATCTTCTTATTTAAAATATATCAAATTAATTTTAATTATTTCTTATTTCTTATTTTTTATCTATTTCTACTAACATTTATTTATAAATACATTAAATATTCTTAAAAATCATTTTTACACCTTAAAATTATTTTTATAATAAATATTTCAATAATTTATCTCTATTTTTTTTTTTTTTACCATTATCTCAAACACCACCTAAACTATACTTAAATTATTGGAAAAGATTATTAAATGACCGCAATCATTTGTGAGAATTTTAAAACTAATAAATTCATTAATAAATACATTATTTTCCTAACACTATTTATTTACAACTAAATCAATAATTTGTGACTAATTTTAATCGGTTGTAAAATTTTATCGGTAATTGTAGTCAATAATTAGTTACAAATTATTCCAACATTAATCTTTTGAAACCAAATGAATAATTATCTACAAATGACAACTAATAATTTATAAAACTATTTTAAAACTAAATTATCGGTTCAATTTTTAAAAAAAAATCTTAATTGAGTTATCAAAATAATAATGCTAGGATTACTTAATTCTTTATATATATAGACTAAATGTGGATTTTGATATATATATATATAGACTAAATGTGGATTTTGACTTGAAGTTGTCTCAAATAGTTTTGATTGATTGGTTTGGTGATTAAAAATATACATTTTATTTTTTGAATTTAAATCTTAGAGTCGGTATTTGTAAAAATTTATTATTATTTTTTAAATGCATCTTATATTATGAGATTGTGAATATACCTTATTTGAGTTCCTTCAAAACTCGTTGATATAACAATTACAACCTTTTTTTGTTATTTCATTTTTTTGTATCAAACAAACTCTAGAATAAATTTTTCAATAGTTTTTTCATGTAATTGTCAAACGTTAAAAAAAAAATATATTTTTTGGGAAACAACTTCTTGAAAAATAATTTTTCTAGAATTGCTTTTCTTATTAGAAGTTATTTTCCATTAAACAAATTGATCCTAAAAGGAATACAACCAACATTTTTATCGTCAATCGCCTAGGCTTAGCCCATCAATAAAAAAAAAAAAAAAAAACCAATGGTAATATTCATCCAACTAAGTTTATTATTCACTAAAACTCATTTGTACTATTGCTTTTACCAAAAAATTTAATAACGGTATCAACCAATACTATTATTGTCTCTCATATACTCTTTCACTTGCATATTTTATCTATATATTTTTTAATTTAATTTTTCATTAAAATCTTGAATAAGAATTATGAAGAAAAAATAAAATAAAATCTCATATGATTGAAATGGTAGTTTGAGTATAAGACAATTTTAACAATATATCGAGCATGATTGTCTGCACATATTAAATATCCTATTCAATGATAACATCAAAGAAGAAAAGAAACACAATAATTGAAAGAGATTAGAGGTTGATAATAATACTATAGTATTAACAAATAAAAAAAATGATGTTGTTAAGTGAGAATGGAAGTCGATAAGATTTTTTGACGGTTTCTTGATAAGCCAACCCTCTTATTTTTACCATATTCTTTTAATAAAAAATATATTTTTATTTATTTTTTATTTTTGTTAATTTCAATTCGCTTGTTTCTGTTTGTAGTTTTTGAATGATATTAAGATATTTTATACACTTTAAGGATAAAATTAAAATTTATATATCAAACGAAAGTGGATGTAAAGGAAAAATAAGAACAAAAGTGAAATGTGGGGACTGATTGAAATAAAAGTGAAAGATATATGAATTAATTCAAATAAATTAAAGATTTAGGATGAAATTGAGACAAATACAAATTTCAAAGGAACAACTCAAAATTTACCTTAAATAATATGAAAAGATTGATGAAAAAATTATTATTATTATTATTTTGAAATCAAATAATATTAAATTAAATTATAAATTTTTGAATGTAGAGTGAATATGAAATTTGTTTTGAAATACTAGATATTTTACTTCAAAAAAATAAAGACAATAAGAATACAATAAAACGGCATCGTTAGACAAGCAAAATCAATATTGAAGGTTGAGGCAGAAAAGGGGTCCACCCAATCTTCTTTTCACATAACTTGGAAAAAAAAAAAATCAGGATCTCTGCTTTTTCCTTCCTAGCTAGGTAGAAGAAAATATGAAATAAACTAGTAGTTGAAAATGTTTGTAAAACTAAAACCCTAAAACCTCCTCAGTTCACTCTCTGCTTTCTCAAAAACCAAAAGAGGCAAAAAAAAATCAAATTGTTGTTTGTTGACAGGAATTAAAAAGTAAGAAATGAAAACCCTTCAACTTCAACTAGCAAACCCCAACACATCGTATCTTTCATTTTCATCATCATTTCAACAAAAACTGTGCCGTTTCTCTCAAAGAAGGAGGCTGTCATCATCGAAACATGGCAGTTTAAGCTGTTCCTTTGCCCCCATGGAGTCTGCTAAGATAAAGGTTGTTGGTGTTGGTGGCGGTGGCAACAATGCTGTTAATCGCATGATAGGCAGCGGTTTGCAGGTTTACCTTTTTGTTATTCATCATTCTAAGTAAAACCCACGTTTTCTTTTTGAATTTGGTAATTGATCATTTTTGTAACTTGCCGACTTCGAGATTTTTCTAACCCTCTTCTCTTCATTCATGTCTAATTATGTGCTCAAACCAAAATATATTGATTTTCGATTCTGGAAAACAGGGTATAGATTTCTACGCCATAAACACGGATGCTCAAGCTCTTGTACAGTCTGCGGCTCGGAACCCACTTCAAATTGGAGAGCTTTTGACTCGCGGGCTAGGTCTCCCACTCTTCTTTTGCGCACTCCTGTATAGATTTTCAATTTTGCAATGTGTCTCGTACAGTTGGCCACCTAGTTTTATAATTTCTCTACGGGCATCATTGCGTTTTCTTTGTATCTGTGGGGTTGTTATATCGTGCCCCTTTGACTCCTTCACTTGATAGTGATGCAGGTACTGGGGGAATCCGCTTTTGGGAGAACAAGCAGCAGAGGAATCAAAAGACGCCATAGCAAATGCACTTAAGGGCTCAGACCTCATCTTTATAACAGCTGGTATGGGTGGAGGCACGGGATCTGGTGCTGCCCCAGTTGTAGCTCAGATATCAAAGGAGGCAGGGTATTTGACTGTTGGTGTTGTTACGTATCCTTTCAGCTTTGAGGGGCGAAAAAGATCCTTGCAGGCAGGTGTTGTTGTTGGTTTCTTCATATGAAAGTGGTTTACTTGTTGGAGTATTGTTCTGAGGAGGAAAAAAAACAAAAACAAAAAGATAGCATTATTAAAGAAAAGTTTACTCTACTTTTTTTTTTTTTGGTTACTAATAGCCGTTTCCATCCTTAAGTTTGCTTTAGAAACTGGTGCTTCTTAGATGTGCTTTTTAAACTAGAATGAAGTTTCTTTCCTCCAAAGGATAATTATTGAGTTTATAGGCAAAATTTTCATGCTTGCAGGCATTAGAGGCAATTGAAAAATTGCAAAAAAATGTGGATACTCTCATAGTGATCCCCAATGACCGCCTGCTTGATATTGCTGATGAGCAGACACCCCTTCAGGATGCTTTCCTCCTGGCTGATGATGTTTTACGCCAAGGAGTGCAAGGAATTTCAGATATTATTACGGTGAGTGGATCTATGAAATGCTAAAGTATATTACCATGTTTTAGTCTTTAGACCAACTGAATTTACAAGTTTTAAGTTGCCTGTTGCAGTTTCAATGAAGCAACAGTATCTTGGTTCATCTATGATCATATAATATGCTTGACAATTTACCGTTACAAGCTGAATGCTCAAATTTTATTAAAATTCCCTTAGATTATGACCACATTTACCTCTTTCTTCCATTTCTTATGCATTAAGTTTTACTATATTTACTTGAATCCCTTATTGAATTTCTATTCATATTTTCCTCGGGTCCTTGATCTTTCATGGGTTATTTAGAGGTAGCCCCTTTAGCATTGAAATTGCTTCCTTTTGAATGAGGGTTGCATCACCTTACAGCATTATTCATAAGATGTTACTTTTTGTAAATAAAAATAAATAGATTGTGGGTTATTATTGCACATTGTTTATATGGTCTTTGGATGATGACTGTGATTATTATAATTTTTGGTAGAGATTTAGCTGTGGACACTTCACTTGCTCTTTCACAATTTTTTTTCCTCAGTGAATTTCTGCTTCTGTACTTCCCTACAGTGTAAAGTTTGTTCCCTTGTTTTGCAGATACCTGGACTAGTTAATGTGGATTTTGCAGATGTAAAGGCAGTGATGAAAAATTCAGGTACTGCAATGCTTGGAGTTGGAGTTTCCTCCAGCAAAAATCGTGCTGAGGAAGCAGCTGAACAAGCAACTCTGGCACCCTTGATTGGATCATCAATCCAGTCAGCTACTGGAGTTGTATACAATATTACTGGAGGAAAGGACATAACATTACAGGAAGTGAATAGAGTGTCCCAGGTAATTTTTTACCTTTTCATTTTCTAAATTGTCTGATTGAAAAGGAACACTCTGCATGAAGTCGTTCCAATGCCTTTGGAATCATTTAGAACAGAGTTCTCATGCTGGCAAAGACATGGTGTAGAGTGGGCTCAAGTGCCACAGCATGATTGGCATTTCCCTTCTGATATTAGGGTTTAAATGGATCTCACTTGCTTTTTACTCGATTGATCTCTTTGAACTGCCACCCGCCAACCATGAATTAATGGGATGTGTAGCCAATGATGTGTTACCTCAATGTCAATATTGACACCCAGGTAGGGCAGGGGCCAAATGGTTTGAGTTTCAACGATGAGGATAATAAATATAACAGGCTATAAGATGTTGGGTTCCATGAAATTAATCATAAAAGCTCCCAGCTACTTTGTTTTTGTGTTCACGTGTTTGGTGAAGGCAAAGACAAAGCTGCTTTTATTATTATTATTATTGTTGTTATTGTGTTTACAGGTGTGTTTATAGAATTTGAAGGTGGCAAAAACTTTCTAAAATCATGGTGGATATTACTTGTCATCATAGAAGATGATGAAAACGTCATCATTGTTGGATCTTGTTATGTCTCAGTTCTTTCTTCTACCTTTTGGTATTAATATCTGTATATATATAATGAATTTGCAGGTTGTGACCAGTTTGGCTGATCCATCTGCAAACATAATATTTGGGGCCGTTGTAGATGATCGTTATAATGGGGAGATTCATGTGACCATTATTGCAACTGGTTTCTCACAGTCATTTCAGAGGACACTTCTAACAGACCCGAAGGCTGCAAAACTGGTAGACAAAATGGCAGGGAGTCAAGAAGCCAAGGGAATTCAAGTTCCTCTCAAGTCCCCGACCTCATCTTCCACTGTTCCATCTAGACCATCTTCAAGAAAGCTCTTCTTTTGATTCTTTTGTTTTGTTTTTAGTTTTGGGGCGAGGGGAGGAGGTGGGGGATTTAGTTATGTATTGATTTCTAAGCTCAATTGAGTAATTTATAACTGAGTATGCTTGCCTTTGGTCTGTTATTAGTTATATATGATAATTGGGGTCAAGAGTATGCTTGCCAGTGGAAGCCTTGCAATCTCTTCGAGATATTTCCGACTAGTGTTCGCACATTCTTAATGAAACTAGCATACATTGCTGAATTTAATGGCGGCCAGTCACCAATTCCTGCCGTTCCTTTATGAATACCTAAAAAATAAAAAAAATCTGCAAATCAAATGGAAACTAAATTTATTTTTCACCCATTCTGAATCCTGAACATATAACACTTTTTTGGAACTGGAACTACAATAATCTGTCGATTGACCTTCTCTAAGGTGTGGAATGCAATTGACCCATGAGAATTGCTATTTCAACACCCAAGTGGAATCTCACTTGAAAACTTGACAAGGTCATCAGCCTAAGCAATGAAAGGCCACATCTCTCAGGTCATTTAAATGATATGGAAGATCGAAATAGCAAAATTGTTCAGAAAACAGCATGGTTGAAAGCGCATGCTCACATGACAACTCTTCCAACTTTACAAGAAATTCTGGCAAAATTGTACTCTCTCTGCAGTGCCTTTGACAATAAACCATTCAGCTATAAATTGATAGACAACTAAAGCCTGTTGTAGAACAAATGGCATGGAATTTGACATAATTTACACATTAACATTGAATGAAACTGTTACAGATCTACTAATCACAAGAAAAAGGACAACTCAGGCTTGGGAATAAAGGAGAACATGCTTTCACTGAAAAGTTCAAATAGTGATGCTAATAAATGGCCTGCATCCATGTCCTCCTTCCAAGCCTGTGAGAGAACAGTTGATGTTTTTAACCGCCGTCCACTAATCTCTCTTCCTGACATGTTTTCATTGGGTAACTGCCGAGATATTGCCGATACTGACAAACTGGAAGCCCCAACAGCTGTAGGAAATCCACCTGCCGCCCCTCGCATGTCAACTGGCATGGATTTCATTGGCATTGCACCAATTGCACCATCTGCTGCTATTTTCTTAAGCATTGGTTGCTGCATTAAGTTGTCCGTGCTAGCTTTGCGTTTATCTTGATTGGCAAGCAAGGACCAACATGAAATTATAGTAGCGTAGAGGGTTATGTGAAGGTACTAAATAAATTGGGTAAATTATAAAAATGCCAAGAAATAATAAGATTAAAGTTCACAGTACATTGGCATGCACCTTGAATCAAGGGTTGAGCACACCCATATAAAGTTTTGATTGAATATGGATGATATGTTGCATGTCAAAATATGACAAATGTCTGAATCATATCAGTCATAGTTCTAGTAAATTCCAACTCGCCCACAGACACAAGCTCATAAAAAGTGTTGGTAAAAAGTTGATGTTCAAAGATTTCATCATATGTAGCGGTGATTGCATCACATGTAGCAGTGAAAAAAGTTAAGTAAATTTTTCACCATAATAACATCTGCAGCCCAAATTGCAAAACATATCAGAAAGCAGTTGCTATTAACCATTTCAAGGGCTGTTCCTTGTTTTCCTTTAGAGTTGCTCCTAAACAAATTCCAAGACTAGGTTTTAAGACATTTAGGTTTGGACAGATCCAGCACTTGCATAATGAATGCAAACACACACAGTGGAAAAGAAGAGGTACCACAGAGAGACCCATTTCCACAAAGAAAAGCATTCACAGGTGTTTTCAAACAGTAGATAACATAACCATTGACAGGAATAATGCATGCATGTACAAATGTGTTCAAATGAAGACAAGTTTTTGTGAGTCATACTTGGCATTGCAGTCATAACTCTTCCATGGCTCTTCCAGATAGCACGACTTGATGGTGTTAACAAACCAGGTAACATTTTGAGCCGATCATACATACATAGACCAGCTGCACGCTGAATTGTTTATGGCAAGGTTAGTAAACAACAAAGCTACATTGATGGTAAATCCAGTTCAAGGAATTGGAATCAAACTAAAAAATAGCCTCACCATCAAGGCTCCATAAACAAACCAAGCTTCATGTCTCTTTATCCCATTTTTTTGCTTCTCAAGAAGCATTTCCGGTTCAAGTAGTAGTAAATATGGCTCTAGATTTGGGAATATAAGAAGACGAACCTATCCAGAATCAAGAACCAGTACAGATTGCTCAAACCAAAACAAAGAGGATTCATGGTAAGGAAGAGTGAAAATTGAAAACACGACAGCCAACACTAAAGCAACAGTGTAATACATTTGAGTGGGGCCATGAACCAGAAGTTATATATATATATATATATATATATATATATATATATATATATATATATATATATATATATATATATATAATGCTAGAGTGATAAATAAAAACGCAACAGTTAACAGACTCATTACAATAGGACTTCAGTTGTGTTTTCATCTTTCTAAAAAAACTGCACTTCCAGATAGTAGGAAAGGACCCACTTTCTTGAAAAATGAGTTTAAAAGAGCATCACATCTTCAGTACCAAAATGAAGAATTTTTTTATAAGAAAAAAAAAAGAAAGAAAAATACTTTCTGGTTTTTCTTTTAAAAGCATTGATACTAGTTCATACCACATTGGGTCCTAGAGCTGCCAATCCTTGTATTGAACCATAATGTTGTGGCAATGATTTTGTCGGGTCCAAGAATGCATGGAGTAGAGTCCTCATGACACGAGGCTGCAGATTGTGATAAGCATGCCCAAATCTACATAGATCAACTGATAGAGATGTAGGTAGTATCTATGACAAGAAGACAAATTACAGAGAAAATCTAAAAAAATAGAACAACAGATACATAAATAACTTGTATAGACAAAGAGACAAAAGAGAATATGGCATAATAAAATCCTCTCTATCACTGAGGCTGTGTTTATTTGGAGGAAAACAAGTGACTTGTTTTCCCTATTTTTCAATGTTTGTTTCGCATTTAAGAAAAAAGTTAACGGAAAATGATTTCTAGTCAATGGAAAATGATAGAGTATATTTTTGAAAAAATGTTTTCCCAGTTTCAAAGGAGGAAAACATTTTCCTTCTCATGAACTATATCGCTCTCATGTTACATACCTCTCCCTCAATATATTTTAATAATTTTTTTCTCTATCTTTTTTTTATTTAAAATATATCGGATTAATTTTTAATTATTCCTTATCAATTATTATTAATTATTTAATTATTCTCTATTTTTACTAATATTTGATTTTTTTTATTTATAAATACATTAAATATTCTTAAAAATCATTTTTACACCTTAAAATTATTTTTATAATAAATATTTCAATAATTTATCTCTATTTTTTTATGATTATCTCAAACACCACCTAAATTATACTTAAATGATTGAAAATAATCATTATAGGACTATAATTTTTTGTAAAAAAAATTAAAATTAATTAATTCATCAATAAATACATTATTTTTTCAATACTATTCATTTGCAATTAAATCAATAATTTATAATTTTAATCAATTGTAAAATTTTGTTGGTAATTATAGTGAATAATTAGTTATAAATTATTCAAGCATTAATCTTTCGAGACCAAATGAATAATTATCTATAAATGATAACTAATAATTTATAAAACTATTTTTCAGACTAAATTATTAGTTCAATTTCTAAAAATAAAATAAAATAAAAAAATAAAAATTCTCGATTGAGTTACCAAAATAACAATGCTAGGATTACTTAAAATCTTTTTTTACTAAATGTGAATATTGACTTGATTTTGTCCCAAGTAATTTTAATAAATTGGTTTGATGATAAAAAAAATACATTTTATTTTTTAATTAAAATTTTAGATTTAGCATTTATGAAAATTTATTAAATTTTTCTAAATGCATCTTGCATTGTAAAATTATGAATATTTTTTTTTGAAGTTTTTTCAAACTTTGTTGATATAACAATCACATATGTTTTTGTATCTTAATTTTTTGTATCAAACAAATGCTGGAATGTATGTTTCATCCAATTTTTACATATAATTGTCAAACAAGTAGAAAATATGTTTTTGGAAAATAAATTCCTGAAAAATAGCTTTTTTAGAAATTGATTTTCCTATGAAACTTGTTTTTCTCCAAACAAACATAGCCGAAACATCCATTAGAATTGTAACTACGTAATTATTCATCTTTAGTTGTGCACAAAGAAGTTCATAAGCATAGAAATTAAATTACATCCATGTTACATGCAAATGGAAGGAGAAAATTTATATAGAACTCCCTGAGGACTAATATTCACAAAGTGTGATCAATCTTTATCGAACTGAATGCATTGAATTATCCACATCAATATATTATTCTCGGAATTCTTTATTTAATCTCTAGATATAACTTTGCATTTGGAAGATCTAACTTAAGGGTGAGTTTGATGGAAGGTTAAAGAGTGCAAGTGCCTTAGAGGTAATAATAAAGGTTGTGGTTGCAAAATGGTGATATGGATTTATGGGGTTAAATGGATGATAATTGCTACCCTTGGAAAGTGAGACCCTATGTTTTTAGGGTGGGGTGGGGTGGGGACTTGTCTTTTATGATCTCTCTCTCTCTCCCCTCCCCCCCCAAAACCTATAATTGATTTTTCTCTCTTTTACTTACACCTTGTTTTGAGTCTCACTTATACATGCTACATAATGTTTTATGTATTTATTTATTTAGAACTGGTTGACTAACTCGTGGTGCATGTGGCTTTCTTTTTAATAATTTAAAAATAACATATTATATACACCAAAAATAATTTTTTACTCAATACAAGGACTAATAATTGGCTAGGACTTAATTTGACACATGGAGCAATAAAAGGGACTGACATATGCAATAAAGTTAAGTTTCATTATTGACAATATATGGAAAGAAGAATCGGACATAGGGTGAGCACGCCAAAGGATGATTTGGCAAGATATTATTTTCTTCACTTTATTAGTTATTTGATTTTAGAGTTAAGATTATTATGGAGTTATTTCCTAATTTATTATTTACTTATCCACCAAGTCTTTTCTTTATTAATTGAAAAACGTCTTATTGCTTTCAATAGCCAGCCCACATATTTCTAATAAAATTTATCTATATGCTTTTTATTGTTTTTCTTTACTATTCTAAGTGTAATTATCTATCCTTAGTTTTAAAAAACCTTGGTAATTTGATTAGGTTGTTGCATCCAAACACCTTGACTATCTTTACTCTTAGAATCCAATTATTTTAGGATCCACTTTATTGTTCTTTGCTTTGGCTATATTTATGCGAATACCACTTCCTGCTTGATTGCAAGGTAGTTGTCACTTGCTACTTATTGCTACCAACTGCTCTAGGAAGAAAAGCCTATCAACAACACATATCTTTGACTTAATTTTTTACTGTATGATGTGCTCTTCTACACAAATATAAATTCACCTACATTTGTTTCAGTAAGCTAGCTACAAGCTAATATAAACTCCCAATCCACTGTTTAGTTATCATTGCTTTAAGCAAGCCATTGTACCTTTTGAACCCAAATACTTATACTACTTCTTTGCTCGAGCAACATACCACCATGGTATTAATAAATTGGTCACTGCACAACAAATAAAAAGTTCAAAGCTTCCATAGAATTCACAATTTCACTTGTAAAGTTTCACAATCACTTGCTCAACTTGTACAATTCAGTGTCCTTAAGATGCACTTGGGTAAGTCTTATATATGTACATATAAGAAAAGAGGATTTGATAGAATCAAAGACCTGAAATCTGTTACATCTATAGTAGCAAGTTTAGCTATATCACACTTGGAATCCCTTCTAGAAAATAAATTGATTAATGGAACCTATGAGACATGGCAAGATACTTTGTTGACTTGGGTGAAGAACGGGGCTTGTTTTCTTGAAAGAGAGGCAAATATGCTTAATGCCTGTAAGAAGATATAGGAGGATCATTCTTCTTCATTGCTCCTATAGTTTGATTGTCACTTTCAACCTTAACCTTCCTTGCTAATTAAGCCAAAATCCATATACAATTACTTGAGCTTAATTACACTAAATCCCATGCTCTTGTTTAGAAGTTGCCACAAATAATCATCCCATCCAGAGGTGGAACATAAAGTAATGGTGAGGGACAGTCCCCCCCCCCCCCCCCCCCCCCAAAAAAAAAAACCCAAAACCACCCTCTCCCCTCTTTTGGGTTAAACTTACCACAGGTCCTTGTAGCATATCAATTTAGATAGATCAATCCCTTTGCATGAAAAAGGCTATACTTGACCCCTCCACCCTTTCCCCTCTTTCGAGTTAAACTTACCACAGGTCCTTGTAACATATCAATTTGGATAGATCAATCCCTTTGCATGAAAAGGCTATACTTTACCCCTCTACTACTTGAAATGGGCCATTTTAGACCCTACATCCATGTCTTTCACTACCTTCAGTTTGACCTAACAATGTCAATTGACTACTTGCTAGCCAATTAGATGTTGATATGTGTCTTAGTCTCACTAAAAAATATTTTGAAAATCACTAGATGCCCTTTTAATGTGAATTTGGTCAAACCCTCAACTAATAATTTGGTCAAATTGAACCTTTTTATTCCAGATTATGGTTATTTTAAACCCACCATACATGTTTTCTATTAGATTGAACATTATCCGTTAGTTAACCAAAAGTAGCAAATCTCATTATGAACATGCATGTTTGACTCCGCACTCAAGATTGCGCTATTATTTTATTTTTTATTTTATTTTATAATAAGTTATTAAAAATAAGAGATTGAAGAAGAAGAAATGGATTTTTGTTATGGAAATATTTGATTATGACTTGGTCTTTTCCTCGTTCTTTTTCTTTTTAAGTTCTTATTGATGCTTTTTTCTTTTTTATCTTCCAGAAATACTCCATGATTCAATGTTGGGTGTGTTGAGATCAAGTGGACAAATGTCATTGTGACATTGTGATGCGGACGACAAAAGACTAAGATTTATGTGTTTAAATTTTAGAATGCAAGGGTATATTAGTTTTTTTTTTTTTTTCAGGTTTGTTTGAAATCTAGAAATTGTCTAGGTTTAGGCTTTATTTCTGTTTAGTATTTTATTTTCTAAGTCCTAGAGTTATTAGGTTTTCCTATTCTAAAATAGGAATAGTTATAGGTTTTCCTATTCTAAATAGGAATAGTTATGTTAGAGGTTTAAGAATCCTTGTCCTAGTGGATTTGGACTTCTACAACTCTATAAATACATGGTGTAGTCTTTCAAATTTATGCATGACAGTTTATCAATAAAATTCCAACAATTTGATTTTGATTGTATGACTGTTGTAGATCAGCAGTATAGAAGAAGGCAGTAGCACAAGGAGGGAAACTAAGATCTTGCGAATATTTATTTATTGCTTTTATTTATTATTTATTAAGAATAAATCAAACTAGGAAAAGGATATGAGAGTCCTAATCAGTCAGGATTTCCCTGTTCATTGACCTGTGATGCAATCGTTGACATGAGACCAAAACAAATTAGTATTAGAACCTGTTGTCATGGGTGATGATGAATGACTGTTAGTAAGGATGCAAGATTTGGATCATCAAATGGTTGAATCCAATCAATTATGGGTCGGGAGCTGTGGGAATTGAGAGAAGGTATGAGGGCCATTCAACAGATGCTGGAATTGCAGATTTTGGGTAAGGGTAAGTCCCAAGAGTGTGAGGGTGGATCTGGCAGCAACAACCACCAGGTAACCAAACCACATGGGGGCCATCATGAAGGTTGTGTAAGGACATATGTTGTTCCTAGATACTCCAAGCTGGAATTTCCATCCTACAATGTCGTAGAGGGCCAGTTGGGATGGTTGTATTGGTATGAGCAATGTTTTCTTAATCAGAGAATAGGAGAGGAGGAAAGGTGGGATTGGCAGCTTTCCACATGATAGGTAAGGCGCAATTGTAGTTTGTGCGCATGGTCCTAGAGGAACTGGAACTCCTTTGAGCAATTCAAGTCCTATTCTCTTCTACGATTTGGGCCATCTTTGAGCAGCAACTCACTAGGAGAATTGGCTAATCTCAAACAAGTGGAGACAATTGAAGAGTATCAAAGTTGATTCCAGACACTCCTAGCTAGGGCTATTTCTGTTAGGAGTGATCAGCAAGTTGATTTGTTTACCACAAGACTTACAAAGGCGTTATAGGTGGATGTTGAGAAGCAGCGACCCCTAATCTAGTTACAGCTACGAACTTAGCTCGGGCTTTCGACAGAAAGCTGCAACTCTGCAGCAAAACTGGAGTGAGAAGCACTCCTTCTAACTGGTTTCTCCCAAAAATGACATGTTCAACTCCTCCACTCATTGTCCACCATGAATCAAAATGGGTGGGAGGAAGTTTGCCCATGGTTTCTGACATGAGAAGTACATCAACGCATTTCACAAAAAATTATCAAGAGCAGAGATGGCAGAGAGGCAAGCAAAAGGACTTTGTTACAATTGTGATGAATAGTTCTCTATTGGGCACCAATGTAAACGTCAGTTCTGCTTAATGGTGGACAACTTCGACGAGGAACCAAGCCCCCCATGGATCTCGAAATCTCCCTCCACGCCATAACAAGGACTTGGAATGCACCCTAATGATGCCACAAAGGAATCGGTTACTTCCCTACAGGACACTTATCCTCATTTTGAGCTTGAGGACAAGCTCAATGTCTAGGAGGGGTGTAATGTTGTGGATCAGTAGTACAAAAGAAGGTAGCAAAGCAAGGAGGAAAACTAAAATCTAGCGGATATTTTTTTTTTTGCTTTTATTTATCATTTATTAAGAATAAATCAGATTAGCAAAATGATATGAGAGTCCTAATGGGTGTGATATTTTAATTATGACTTTCTATGTTAGTATAAGTCTATTTTAATTATGACTTTCTATGAGAGTCCTAATTGGTGTGGTATTTTAATTATGACTTTCTAAGCAATAGCCTATTAGGTTTGTCTTTTTTTTTTCAAGCCGCCTCTAATATATAAAGAGTAGATATTTTCTGAATAAACGTATCGAATAATTTATACCAAAAAAGGTTTAGGAGAGTTGGGAGGTCTCTTAAGGACAAACCTCTGAAGTTACTGTTACAATAGGTTACTTGCAGAAAAGGAAGGATCAAATCAAGGGAATCAGTGAGGATTTCCCTGTTCATCGACCAGTGACGCAATCCTTGCCATGTGACCATAACAGACTCAATAACCCTCTTAGGTGTGACTCTTAAGAACCCTACACATGAATTCTAGAAATCTACCCACATATTTCCTCATATTCCAACAGAAAACTACTTCAATATAACCCTAAACAGCTTCCAAAGATCAGATCCAGAACAACCCCTAAGCTATCTGCATCACATTGGCTATCTTTGGTCAACTAAAGGAGCATGGTCCATCCAACAAAAAACATGGACTACGAGTTTAAATAACCAAAATCTCAGACTAATGGGTTCAATTAGATCAAATTATTAGTATAGTTCAATTTGACCAAAGTTGAATGGTATCAAGGCATTCATTGATTTTCAATCCTAAAAATATAGAACATCTAATTAATAGCAACTAGTCAACTGACATCATTTAGTCAAACTAACGGACTTTAATGATGAACATAGACGAAGGGTCAAAAATGGTCCAATTTAGATGGTAGAGGGGTCAATTATAATCTTTTTGAGGTAGAGGTGTTGATCTGACCAAATCATAAAATATAGGGACATAAGTTATGTGTATCCCCCTCTGCACTTAAGTAATTTATCCACTCTCCACAACTGATCCCATCCTCACCTTTAATAATTGTGTCTAGATCCTATTCCCCTTAAGAATTACTGCATCTATATATTCAGCTAGTCTTGGGAGTCTTTTAAGGAACATGATGTATTCCTTTCAATATGCTCTGCATCTAGTAACCTTAACATGTTCCTCCATTGGTAGGTTACTTTTATATGCTTACTACTCATGCTCGGATAGTAGTGCTCTTCTACTTCAAAAAATAAATTTTATTTTATCTACTTATCTGGAGACCAAAACTAAAATCCAAATATATTTTTTATATACAAAAATCCCAACACTAGTAATTGCTTATTTTATCTTTAAAAACAACGAATTTGGAACCCCTTTTTTTTTTTTTTTTTTTTTTTTTTGGGAAAATGAACTTGGGCATTTTAGTTCAAAAGAATTAGTTCACGTGTCCTAGGTAGCAGCCAACTTGGAATCTTAAGTGGCTGTAACTATAACCTCTATTTCCATCAGTTTTGAAATACCTACGTATAGATTGAACTCTCATTGTGTCTGCTAGTACACTTGATTGTCTAACCTCCGATCAAAGTCAGTTTGCACTTTTCAATTCAGAAGAAATAGTTCACATATGTTCCAGGTGGCAGCCAACTTGAAATCCCAAGTGGCTTTACCTATAACCTCTATTTCCATGATTTTTTTTAAATGTCTGTGGATAGAGTTAACTCTCATTGAGTCTGCTGGCACATTTGATCATTTAACCTCCGATCAAAGTCAGTTTGCACTTTTCAATTCAAAAGGAACAGTGGATGTGTCCTAGGTGACAGCCGACTTGGAATCCTAAGTGGCTTTACCTATAACCCCTATTTCCATAACCTCTATTTCCATCAGTTTTTAAATATCTATAGATAGATTTAACTCTCACTGAGTCCGCTAGTACACTTGATTGTTCAACCTCTGATCAAAGTCAGTTTGCACTCTTAACAATTAGTACTCCTATAATAATTACTCTTATAATAAGTTACCTCTCTTTTTTTAACTTTGTATCCAATGGAAATTAAAAAAGAATATTCCTAATGAAATTGAAAATAAGTCCTCACCTTTTGCATATCAAAGCAACCAGGTTTGCCGCGAAGTTTCTGAGTTTCCAATGGTTGTCGGAAAATCTGTTTCCTAATCTTTTTGCAACTAGGCAGGTAATAATAGACGGCATTAATTGATGTAGCTGAAGAGAAAAAAACAAAAAAGTGACATTAGATAGAAAAGCCCATGAACTTTAATGTGTTAGTTTTAGGTACTTCCTAACTACAAGAAGTATGAAACTGCAGTGCCAAATAAAAGCAATAAAGACTAGGAAAATCAAAACAATAATCAGATATAAAACACCTTCTGATACTTGGTTACGTAGTTATATAGTGTTAACAGCCAAATTTGATAAACTGGAAATGGACTTACATAAGGTTCTAAATGAATGTTTGGGTTTTGAAGAAGGCTTCGGGCAATAAGCATCACAGCAAAGAGAAGAGAAAAATTATTCAGATTCCGTGTAACCTGAGATAATTGTGGAAAAACATTATCTTTCAATAAAAAATGAGCAGTCCCTGCTTAAAGATAGTGTGAAGATATGGATAATATTAGGATTCTGGAGACCACCTCATCAGCAATGAATTGTGTGAAATAAGGAACTAAAGGGTGCAGTCCTGAGTCAGTGGCCAAGCTCACTAATGCTTGCTTGAAGAGAGCAGATTCAGACCTCCTCACAGTAAGCTCTGTGACCTTTTCAAAGTAAAGCTGCATACACAAGAATGAAAAACACTTGGTATTCAAGCGCATGACTTGAACTTGGGGTGCAAAAATGCCCCCACAAAACTCAGAACGGCAAGGTAAAAGGATTAAAAAAGGAATTCACCTGAAGCTCCCTTGACAATATATCCTTGACAGGTAGTTTGACATCGACTGAAAGACCATCATCCTTGCAGTCAGATTTTTTGGCATCAGAAGGTGCTGCGAAGGTGAAATATTGAGTCGTGAAAGATAAGATAATCAACAAACGAGAGAATTAGTACAAAGTAGGAGTAGCAAATGGTATTAGAAAGAGAAATCTACCTTCGATTGGAGGATTCTCGGGGATTGCAGGTTGAACACCTTCAATAGCTAACCAATGAGAAGTAAGAGAAGCATCAAGCGGCGCGTTTGGTAGAGGGGCTTCAATCACCTGCATCTCATCATATTCATTTATACAAACTAACTAACTAACTAATTAAAAACTGACTAGGAGAACATTAAACATTAAAAACGGAAAGGGTTTTAAAATGCGAGCAAAACAATATTGTTGTTACATGTTTAAAATTGACATCTTTGTCATCGATGTAATAAAGATCCTTATGCCCAGCTGCAGCAGCTCTTTTGAACCGCAATGGAACTTTATCTCCTCCTCCAGAACCAAAACCATAGATTGGCTGCCAAAACAAAAGGCAAAAAATTTTGTTATTAAAAAAAAAAAAAAAACATTCATTGAATAAATAAGAGAGAAGAGAAGAGAAGATACCTCGACGTTTCTTAAGTTAAGAGCAGTGTCAACATCATGAGCAGTCAATGCAGTTCTCCTTGAGTGGCGCATACATTTAATTGCCTCCTGGATGATCTCCCGGAGACGGTACTCCACGTCGGGAGCCAGAGAGATGGAGACATCAGGGGACAAATTAGTGATTCCAATGCTCTGTGCTATCACCTCTATTGCTTCCTTTGCTACTATACTGCTGCTGCTGTTGTTCATGTCTCTCTCTCTCTCTCTCTCTAGTTTAATTCAGCTTCATATCATCATCTGCTATTTATCTATCTCTCTCTCTCTGCCTGCAACTCTGAAATTCAAAAGAAATACAAAATTCCAATCCGGTTGGTGTCTAAGTCACTTAGGGTTACCAGTAAGCCGTTAGTTAAGGCGGAGTAGGACAGGAGCCATGGTTACACATCAGCAACGAAGACTGACTTTTATTGGGCTTCAGAAAAGCCCATTTTATTAGTTCACTTTTTATTCTGTTATTTTATATGTTATTACGCATGGGGATTCTCATTGCTATTGGTTGGTACTGGAACTTTAACACCATTTGATAGAGATCAAAAGGGGTCGAGGGAAACTTCTTCCTAATTTTTATTTTTTCCAAATATATATATATATATATATAACCCTATAAAATAAAACAAAATTTCCAACTTTTAGTTCATATATAAAAATAGTTCTTCTTTTAATATTTATAATAATAATAATTATTATTATTATATCAATATTAAGATTAATTGATATATCTATCTTTACATATATATATATATATTACGTTTTTTTTTTTTTTGTTTAATCAAAAGGAATAAAAGAGTCTATCTTTCTACACGGTTTACCAAACAAACAGAATACCTCAGTAACTTAATCAAAGTTGTGGCTTTTTGCAAAGGGTGGAAAATTTGGACTAAACTAAAGCCTTTTTTCTGCATAATACTTAGAGTGCTTAAATCTACGTTGAACCATCTGTTTGACCCAAGTAATGACATCAAAAGGAGTCCTATAGTTTCTACCATGGATACGAGTGTTCCCCTCCTTCCAAATAGCGTAAATTGTGGCACCCGACGCAAATTTTCCAAAATACATTGCTAGACCTCCTCACAGAAAGTGCAACTAATGGGCAATTACGTACAATCCTCATCGTTGGAACCAGACAAAACACAAGAAGCAACAAGCATCAATTTGTCTGCCTTGGATGGTTTGGGAAACTTTTATGCATAGCCAGCCAAACAATGAAGTTATGGCTAGGAATGGTCATGGGGCCCATGCCAATTTAACCAATCCACGTTTTCTTTTTTACTCCTGCAAATTTCCCAAACACTTCGTATGGTAAAGAGCACTAGGCTTCAAAATAACTTTGTCATTCGCAAACTCATTTGGATAGATCACACGGCAAATATCACTTTGAATAGTTACCATTAGACCACAACTAGTCATTCTCATTGATGACCTCAGACAATATAGCTTTATAAAAGACTAGTTTTATAAGTTAGATTGTCATCATAAATTTTCAACAAGGATCTATTAGTGGCTCAATTTCATATTTAGCCGATTATAAAAGATATTGTTATATATATAAAAAAAAAAAAAAAAAATTCATTCTCTCACCTAAATGGTCATTGGGCTATTGGATATCAATTGGAATGGTGGAAGTTATAGCTTAAAGCCCATTTGTAAATTAAATAACCTAAGCCCAAACAAGCATGTCACGGGTGGACATCAAGACGATGAGTTTAGATAGAAAAAATATAAGAAAAATGAGTTGTCTCCTAATATTAAAGTTAATTAAGAAATTTAAATATTTGATCCATTCAAAGATCAAAGGTAAGGAGTTAGTTACATAAAAAAAGATAACAATCAACTTTCAATGTCCTATCTAAGGTAGTTACATCGCATGCTATCTAAAAATTCATTTCTAGTCTTTAGTTATATAAAATTATCTATGCTTAATTGGTATGTTTGCTAATAAGTTAGAAACTAATTAATCTTAAAATCAACTGATTTGAGATTTGGACCTACGAAGGCCATATTGTTACTTTAAGTACATAGACATTGAACTCAAAGAAAGGCAAAAGATAAGTGAAGCCTAATCAATTAAAATAGACCTAAAGGTCTTCATTTACACTCGATGGACCTATGTGGGATCATAAAGATCCGACCACGATATGCTCACTCTTCAAGTAAAAGAGAAAGAAGAAGAAGATAAGGAAAAAGAGAAGAAGAAAGGGACTTAATCCTTCGGTAGATCCAAGTATACGTTATTCATTGTTACGGGTGTATATTGAAATGATGAGTTTAAAATAAAAAAAATAATGATAGAAAAAAGAGTCATCACCTAATATTAAAGGTAAGTAGGAAACTTAAATGATCGACCTCGTAGAGACTTTAGGTAAATATTTGGTTTCATGAAGGAAAGATAATAATCACCCTTCAATGTCCTAGTTGAGGTAGATCGAATAGCATGCTACTCTAAACATTTATTTATGCTTTTATTATGCTAAATTGTGTGTGCCTATTTGGGTGTGTTTTTCATTAAAATCAAAAATCCAAATGATGAGTGTTGAACTCAAGAAAAAAAAAGTCATGATTTTGAAAAAAAAAAAACTCATATAATAATGAAACCAAGAGTCATAGGTTTTTTTTTTAAAAAAAAACATGGAACCAACAACTATGATTTTGAAAAGATATGGAACTAACAATCAAGATTTAAAAAAGACGTAGAATCAATAGCCATGATATAAAAAGACATAGAACCAACAATCATAATTTGAAAAAGGCATGGAATCAAAAGCTACAAATTGCAAATATATATATATATATATATATATATATATGGAACCAACTACCATAGAAGGAAGATAGAACCAACAACCACAATTTGAAAAAAAATGTGCAACCAACAATCATGACTTGAAAACGATATGGACCCAACAACAATGATTTTGAAAAAATAATGATTTAGAACAATGTAGAACTAAACATCATAGTTTTAAAAATAATACAAAACCAACAATTGCAATTTGAAAGGATGTTTTTAAAACAATATGATACCAAAAGCTACGGTTTTAAAACGATATGAAGCCAACAAACATGATTTCACAAAAAAACTCAAATCAAGCCAAAATGACACAAATATGATTCCGATAGCTCACTTTTTAAAGAATGAAAATCAAGTAAAAAACAAAAATATAAAAATCATTTTTCACAAATCGATAATTAACGAATGAAAATCAAGTCGATAACAACATTGCACATTATTTTTATGAATCATTCATCAACAAATGTAAATCAAGACAATAAAGGCATCATAAATTATTTTCGCTATTTGTTCCTTAGCGAATGTATAACACCTCCGACCTAGGTCCTAGATAAGTTATGGATATTATCGACATTGAATTAGTTTCGGAGTATAATGAATGGAAGTCAATAAGCATTCTCTCCCATCAATTCTATTTCATTAGCGAAAGTGGGTAATTCCTACATTAGGTCCTTAATAAGTATGAGATGCTAGGTCCACCTTAAACATAACTTAGGTATAATTTTTTTCTCAAAATCATTAAAGTCATCACTAAATCCATTTTAAACCTTCACTAATAATTTAGCCATTTGATCTACTATTGATCATAATTTTAGAATGTCTTTTTAATTTCTTACTTTTTATTCCGAATTGCAATCAATTCTATAATCCAATTAAATTATATCATCCTATCCATATTAGTCATATTAAGCAATCAAATTCTATTAATAAAAAGTTTTAGCATAACCCTAACATAACATTCAACTCCTATATTTATTAATGCAAAATATTTTTCAATTCACTAATTTACATGCCAAAATTTGCTTAACTTGCTATATGTGACCAAAAAATCAAGTCAAGCTAAGTATAGATTTCCATACTCTTTAGCCTAAAGCACACAAAAGGGCAAGTCCTTCACTTGTCTTGGTAGCAACTCCTCATTTATCCTAATCTTCTTACGTACCATAAGAAATAAAGGTGAGCAATGCAATGCTTAGTAAGTGTAACACATACAATGCATGTGATATTTTTTATGCATGAATGCTCATAATGCAAATTTTATAAAATCCTTTTCATGCCTTTAAAAATTATTTTTCTTTTTCAAGCGCACCTCGCGAAACATATATTATGTAAACGTTGATACATCGTGTTTGGTAGCCCTAATGATTCTATTATGATCCTTCACACTTGAAGAAAACTTGTTGAGATTTAGGTAGATCCTACCATGTCCACATAATGACTTAGAATCAAACTTTAAGTTCTCTTGACTTGATAAAAATAGGATCAAGTCAAATCTAAAAGAAAATTTGACTAAATAATTTGGTCACGATGTTTTAAGGTGGGTGATAAAAGGACCAACATTCACTTCAAATTAGCTCTTGAATTTTAGGAAGAAAAAAAAAGATTAATGCCCGTTAGTTAAAGTTAAGAAGATTGCCTAAGTTCCTCTTAGATCTCAACATTTTAAAGGTTACTAACAAAACCTAATTTTATCTTTAAACTAATTCAAGACAATCTCGAGCGTTCGAAAATTGACATCCTCTTATCAACCTTATGAAAAGGCTATTCCATTTTAGTCTTGAGTGTCCGTTATTTCTAGTCTATTATTTATGTCTTGTGTTAGGGTTTATTTTTTGTTTGCCAAGAAAAACATAGATCGCCCAATAAAGCTACACTTCCTCCACGCATTTATCACACTCAACTGAAAAAAAGATAAATAATGAAGAGAGAGCTCAACTCAAACAAAACCATTTGAAAGAAATAGACATACCGAAAGGAGAGATTGCTAAGCTCGTCGTTTTGCTTAAGAAAAGTCCGTAAAATCATGCATATATTGATATGCCTTCTCAAAGGAAAGTTGGCCAATCATCTACTCTTTTTAAAGTGTTTACTACTACACCATTATCTTCCACTCAAATTTCCACTCTAGTGCCATCTTTCCTCATGCTCTAGTAAGAGCGGAGTTGGCACTATATGTTAAGCCACCTATACTACACTTGAGGGCAAGTATGAGCTAACTCCTCCTAAAACCTTAAGCCTAGTTTAATGGCCGTCACGTACTTTACAAACTCAAGTAGTTCCTATAGTTGATATGACTATTGATGAAAAGATAAAGGCAAAGGTGATCTTAGGAACTCGAAATTAAAAAGCTCACTTTATCAATATTAAGTCAATATAGTTGGCACTATCATTCCTCATGTTC